CTACATAATCAATTGTGACAACCACCTTTTCAACCAAGCCCCTATGAAACGATGACAAATATCAGTAAGCATAGTTCTGAATGGTGAACTGGATTCATAAATTTATTTTTCTCACTCAAATTATCAGAATTCATATTACCAAGCTTTTTATGCACTAAACTAGCTTCGTCAACAGAACTGTTGGAACAGTTAGTTCTATCATCACATGGTTTTAAAGAAGTAATGGCAGATAAATACTTAAGATCAGATTTCTTTACCCATATTTTTTTTTGAGTTTTATTCACTAAATCAACCTTTATCTTGGGTTTTTGAGTCGACACAAAAGTGTGATCTATTTTAGCGGAAAGTGGTGAGTGGGCCATTATTCTTTTTACCATCTTCAAGTACTTAAAACACCTGGGTCGTATATGACCAGAAACATGACAAAAATAACAGGTAGGGACAAAAACTTTTATTTGAGATGACTGTGTTGGTGCAACTGTCGCAGCAGTCTGTGAAACAGTGGATTGTTTAACAAAAAAGATTTTTCTTTTAGGATTTTCTTTCGGTTGCAATGCATCAGTAGATAGCTGATAAATCCATATACCTAGACAACCATAGTTCGGCTGATTTTTGTTCAAAATTTCATTCAAAGTTACTCTACCAGTATTAAACTTAGAAATAGCATCTTAAGTCTGAGTAAACTTAGCCTGCAAACTACTTGTTTCGTTATCTACTCTAATAGACCTTTCCTCAAGAGTAGAAATTCTTAACTTCAACATCTTGTTTTTTTCTATGAGAACATGCTTATCCTTTTCAAGACACTTATTTACCTCAGATACTTCGAGCCACTTCCGGTACATTTTTTCATATGTATTTTTAATCTCTTCCAGGGTTGGCTCTTCATCATAACTACTTCTCTCAAAGTTACATGCAAAAATAAATGGTAAAGTCGGACTCTTGTTCTTATCTGAAGATAATTCATCATACGTGAGTTCTGACAGACTTTTGCAATAGTTCCCTCGGTTCTGCACATCGAAGTAGTACCACTGAATGCTACAAAGTTAGTCGTTTGGTCTTCTTTATTGTTCTTATCCTATCACTGTCCTCTTTATCACTCCAAACAGTGGTGACTGACATCCTGTTTTCCTTCAATGTGTTCGTACACTCAGCCTGTATATGTCCAAAATCCCCACACTCTCGACATTGTATTCTTCTAGACTTTGCATCATAAGAATAGCCATTATTAGAAAAAAAATTAAGACTTTGAGGGTTAACAGACTTACCTGGTTGAGAGGAATTTTCTCTATTTTCAATTTCTTGACGTAGCCTTTCAATGTTCTTTGTCATAATTGCTAAGGATTCTTCAACATCAAGGTCATACTCAGGAAATGTTTGGCTTTGTGAGTTGCCATGGGAAGCTTCAGCCTGGAATGCCAGCTTCTTCACCTTTTTATTTTCTTGAATATTTGCTCTAAAATTCATTTCATGGGTTTGTACCCATGAGCTCATCTAGCTTTAGCATGTTGATATCCCTCACTTCTTCGATTACTGCAACTCTGTAAGCGAATGTTTATGTTAATGTTTGGCCTTGTGAGTTGCCATGGGAAGCTTCAGCCTGGAATGCCAGCTTCTTCACCTTTTTCTTTTCTCGAATATTTGCTCTAAAATTCATTTCATGGGTTTGTACCCATGAGCTCATCTAGCTTTAGCGTGTTGATATCCCTCACTTCTTCGATTGTTGCAACTCTGTAAGCGAATCTTTATGTTAATGAACATAGTGCCTTTCTTACCAACTTTATTTCCGAGTATTGTTCACCTAGTGCATAAGATTCATTTGAAATATCACACAATTTAGTGTGAAAATCAGCAATCGTCTTGTCCTCCTCCATACGAAGACTCTCAAATCTTGTGGCTAATATCTACAGCTTAGATGTTTTAATAGTTGATGTGCGGTCGTACATCACTTGCAAGATCTCCCATGCCCTTTTTGCTAATTCACACGATGATATCAGTTTGAACTGATTGTCACCAACACCACTGAAAATTGAGTTTATCGCCCTTGAGTTGTAAATGGCAAGTAATATCTCTTCATTAATCCATGTTTCTTCTGGTTTTACTGTCTCCATACCATCTGTTCCTTTAGCCATGGGCGGGGTCCAACCAATCACGATAGCGCGCCAAGCTCGTTCATCAACAAACTTGATGAACATCTTCATCTTCGATTTCCAGTAAGAGTAATTTGATCCATCCAAGAGAGGTGGTCGTACTGTAGACGCTCCTTCACGATGAAACATATTTGCACGTAACAAAATAAATTAATTAATTTAAAAAATCTCACAAAGTATATCTAGTGAGAGGCTCTTGATGCCAATTGTTAGAATTTATTTCGTTCAAATATTAGTTGTTTGTGTCGGATTCAGTTTTTAGTTACTGTTGCGTGAAGTGTTGCGACAGTTCATGAAACAGTTTGTAAAAACAGAAATGAACGAGACACAAATTTAATGTTGTTCAGATACAATTGTACCCTACATCTACGAGGATCTGCAAAAGCGAATATTCAATATTTTAGTTTTACCAGCACAATATTAGAACTTAAACAATAAATTAAAGACTCCATCTGTATCTTGACGCCGTTCTTATGCAATACTTAAAACTAGTGACTTCGATTGTGCCAGCCTCCTCTCTGCTCGGTTGAACTCCCTTCAACTCTGAATCTCTTCAGTCGGCGGATCGATCTCCTCCCGAGATCTGTTTAAGCCCCTCTCCCGAAGAACCGATCTTCTTTTTGTATAGAAGAAGCAAACATGTGATAATCCTTGAATCTTGGTGTCTTCACCACAAAGCCTTGAAGCCGATATATTTTTTTTATGAAAATCGCGTATCACGATGGAGCAATGAGTGCAAAATATTTTCTCCGCAAATTTTCTCTCGATAAAAAAGACACCAATAAAAATAAGAGTAAATAAAATATCCTGTGTAATTTTTTCTCTCAAAGATGCCGTACAAACTTTATGCTCAGCTTGCTCTTCTTTTATATCATACACCATAAGATATTCAAAATATTAAAGTCACGTAGGATTCTAAATCTTAGAGATATATGTGATTTCTTATTGTCTTATCAATAAATAAGCCAAAACAATCGTCTACATCATCAGCTGGCCCAACTGTTTCAGCGACAGGTATATCAACTGTTGCAACAGTCTCATTAACAGTTGTTTCTATATCAACAGGAGATTTAACTGCAACTCCCATGTATCAGTGGTGGCTCCCCTCACGTGAAGAGGTAAATACCCTAGTCTAATAAGATTTATTTTACATAAATAAATACTCAATTAATGACAACTAGGAAACCAAGATAAAAAAAAAAAAAATTCCTTTCTTTTTGTAGTAATACACAGCAGTGTATAACCATAAGAAGGTTTACTTGGCATATTACTTTTTCTCCAAGTTATTGGCCAAAGTTTTTCCATATTAAACAAAAGTACGTGAATTCACAGGTTGGCAAAATTTGATCATATACGTACCTTTTTTCTCTTTCAAACTCTCGTAGTCCTCGTACGCCAATGATTTTATTAACCTAGTCCAAAACCAAAAATATATATAAACCTCAACTGGGATTCTTATTTTCCAATCCGACCACATTAATTAATTAATAATCCATCCTCTCACCCAAAGAGAAGAGAAGCAGTAACTTTTTTTTCTTTCTTTCTTGCACGACCATGGTTCATTATTATCTAACTTGTATTTTGTAAATTAATGAGGGCTATGTCCAATAAACCTTTTTTTTTTTCTAGTAAAAAAATTATGATGCTTCCCATAGGGTAGAAGCACTACCAAAAATACAACCCAATACTCCTATTTCTACGTTTTTTCTTCTAAACCAATTTGACTTCAATTTTGATTTTGGTCGACCTTGATTTTTATTTTTAAATAATTTTTTTCTTCATTTTTCCGGTAAAAACAATAATATTACTGTGGTTGCGAGTATATAGGAAGAATAGAAACCCCCATTTTGTTATGGGTTAATTACATGGAATATATATAGAGAAATATTGCAAGGTAATAGAGTTTGGCTAGCTAGGTAACTAAATCCTAACTAATCTAGGTAACCAAATCATACTAGAATCATACTATTAGGAGAGTTCTATAATATTATATTCTCTAACAACGAGTAATATTCACCATATTACTGTTTTACACCATAATATTATTATATTACGTACTATCTAGCACAATGACATTAAATAGCGAAATTACTATGTTTCATAATAAATTATTGTGTAGTACGATAATATTATTATGTTAACCGCGGGTCAACGAAGAAAATTAAAACAAAATAAAAAACCAAAAAAAATAACATTGTGGTTGACAGTAATATCGTCGATAATATTACTGTCAACCACAATAATATTAGTGAAGCTGATATTAATATAACTGTCAACCACATTAATATTATAATTTATAATACCAGAGACAATGATAAGACTGTTAATCACACTATTATTACCGATGAAGAAAACAAAACAAAATAAAAATGCCAAAAAGAATAATATTGATGTGGTACGCTCAAAAGTAATATTATTGTGTTGAGAATATAATCCTAGCACACAAAGGATTACAAACCTAATATTCAAGTAAACCGAAGTATATTAAGTCATGTACGTGAACCAAAGTACGTAAATTCACAGGTTGGCAAAATTTGATCACTACCTACCTTTTCTCTTTCAAACTCTCGTAGTCCTCGTACACCAAGGATTATTAACCTTGTCCACAACCAAAAAATATATATATATACCTCAACTGGGATTCTTATTTCCCAATCCGACAACATTAATTAATAATCCATCCTCTCTCCCAAAGAGAAGCACTAACTTTTTTTTTTCGAAATCAACTTAAACTTCACATGGAGAACTGATTTTTCCGAGTGGATAATTCAACCTGATGATCCAGATTCCACGCTCGTGTTAGTCACACGATTCAATGCATCCACAACTGATTTATCCTTTGGAGTGAGCCGCATGCAGTTCCGGTGCGAGGATGAATTAAAGGCGGTCATGGACTTCGAGCTGAGGGGCGTTTTAGACAATTGCTATATGCGCACAAGCGTGGCCGGTCTTGTGCGGGACGAAGCGCTCACAAGGCTCGACAACAATATTCCGGCAGAGGGCAGGGTTTTGAATTTTTACTTTGATGTGTTGGTAGATAACCAACATATTGATTACGCAGAAATTGATGATGAGGAATGTTATCTCATGATTCCGGCAGCGGATTCATCGATAATGTCGTCATTGAAGAGGGTGGCCGTTGATTCTGATCGGAATATTAGTTGCTCGATTTGTTTGGAAGATCTGTCGTCGGGCGGCGACAATGATTTTGAAGAAGCGTTAAGCATGCCGTGTTTGCATATTTATCACGACTACTGCATCAAGAAGTGGCTGAGCACTAGTCATTGTTGCCCACTCTGCCGCTTTGAAATGCCAACCACGAATCAGATAGATAGATAGATAGATTAATGTAAAATTTCAAAAAATATTTAATTTTGAGGTTTTTTAGGTTTCATAAATATTGTATTTTTTCAATCTTGTTTCGGAGTTAATTTTATAATAATTAGTTTTTCTATTACTTTAGCCAAACTGCTATTATGTTTTGAAGAAAAACCCACGGTTTCCATTCAAGATTCACTGTGATTGAATTTCTTTTACAATTTTAAAAGTATTATTACATGTTATGCAAGTTCAATAAAATTTGATCTATGTTAAAGTAAAGTGGACTCTATCAAGTTGATTTATTCTCAATCACTAACATGTTGGTGTTATTCAATTGAACTTTAATTGGTTGCTTTATTATTATAAAACTCAAAATTAACAAGATTAATTACTTTTATAAAGAGAGACTATAGTCTAATCTTCATCTTATGCATTTGTTGATTCAATTTACTAGTCGAAACACCACTTCTCATAATTGTTATGAAAAACAAAATAGGATTCTAAAAAGAAAGAAGAAAACTATGCTTGAGTCCTCGTGAATCGTCATTTTTCGCGCCTTGTTAGTTGCTCTAAAATTCCGTGCTTGGAACCCACGAGTTCTTTGCTCTAAAACTAGGATTTTTGGACTCAACTCTGTATAACCAACTATCCTCATGTCTCTCCTCTCGAAATTCTGACGTAAAAACCTATTTATATAAAGTCAGTGTGTGCACCTATGACCTATTGATCGGTAGCTATTTAGCCACTGGTCGATCGGCATAATTATAATTAGAGTCCATATGATCGATCGATCGTTGGGTCTTCTTCAACATTTATGTACTTTGTCGTTTCATCGCCATGTTTAGCTTATTTTATCTCGTTCCTCGAGTTCCTTGACCGTTGTCGTCCCTCATGTTGCCCTGTACGCCTTCTGGACACGATATTCCGACATAAACAGATAAGAAATGCAAAATGCATGAGTCAAACTTATAAATGCAATATTAGATAAAATGCAACCAAACAACACATAAATGATTTACGGTTGCTCGATTCTTGGCTTAAATAGATGCCAACAAGTGTGCATTCTACACACTTTATAGTAAAACATGTAGAGGTCCTCGGGTACAATCGCTCGATGGCGGTATTGTATTTCGCGTTGGTGGTGGAATAGTGACTTCTTGAGGTTGGTTAAGCAGATTTTCATATCTCTGATGTTGTTTCAATTAAACACTAATGTCTTCTAAGTGCATACCTAAAAAAGAAACTTGAAAGATAACAAGCTGAAGTAAGAAAAAATGTTTAGATCTCATATTAGAAAAATACGACAATCTAGACATATATACCGAAACAACGACACAAAAAATCTATTAAGAAAATCCTACTCGCAAGTGCACATATCGCAAACAAGTAGGAAGTTGGATTCAGATGAGTCGAGTGTCGAACTCGCAGGGAATACATATGTTACCATATCCTAAGTACCAAATTATGACAACTACGCTCTTATCCATAAATCCAAAGGTTGTTTGATTTTTATTATCTAATTAACTAAGAAAGCAAATAAACACGATATTAAATTCAGTAGAACAGACCTATACGTTTATCTTTCGCATGCGAAGATTGTTCGCCAAACCAAAGTTATTATTTATGATTATTAACGTGAAACACTACATTAATTATGATTCGGTTCCGCATCTATTATATCTCTATTTCTCCTAACCAAACTGCAGTATTCATATGCAATTTAATTTTGAACAATGCATGAAGCATAAGTTTGAAAAATGAGTACCTAAGGCTAATGTAGAACAATATAATGCATGAAGCATAAGTTTGAAAAATATCAACCTAAGGGGAATTAGTATATTCATATGATACTCATATGCCAATAATGGACATATCTGTAGATATTGACTCGAATATTCTTCTACCATGATTCTAATTGTTAAAAGATCTTACAATTCAATTTAAATGATAACAATAAAAAATTAAAATCTCATAAATTCTTCAAGTTTATAAACTTAAAACGATCAAGTTGAAGAAATAATGAGAGAACCAAACTCACTACAAGAAAAACTAGCTTTAACGACCAAATTTTTAGCGACGATAGACAAATAGTCGCAAAATATGTATATATAGCCACCAATAACAATATGGTTGCAAAATTGAAGTTACTTCAATTTCTTTGCGACCAAACAAGATTTGGTAGCTATAAATGGTCACTATTAGTTGTCGATCCTTGAGCGACCATGAGTAGAGTCTTTAGCGACTTGTTTTAAAACGGTCGTTGTAAGTAATGTTAATAGTGACCAATTTAGTAACTAAACAAACAATGGTCGCTATAAATTTTTAAATAACTATTAACGACCAATTAATTTGGTTGCTAACGATATTTTCATTGCAAGAATGTAGCCACCAAAAATAATGTAGTTGCTAATGTTAAGTTGTTTATTTTTTTACGACCAACTGATATTTGGTAACTATCGATGGTCACTGTAATTTAACAAGACTCGGGTACTAGTATAGCGTCCAAAGTTGGAGTATTTAGTGAGAATTACATTTGGTCGATATAAATAAATATTAACAGTGACCAATTTAATAACAAAAATATTGTATATATAGTTACTACATGTCTTTTACACAAAACTAAAGTGTCTTAAAATCATTAAATTGTAAGCATATAAATTCAGCTAATTAAATTTATTTAAAAAAATGACAGAATGTAACTACATGAACTAATGATTGGTTATGGAACTAACTTTTACACAAAATACTTGTATTATACAATAATACGTCTACATAATAAAACCTATACAATATGAATAAATTCTAACACATATGTTCGATCACGTAGTACCAATTCTAATAAAATCCATAAGTTGGTCAGATTCGCCATTGAACTTTAAAATTGTTTGAGCAGAAAACAAAATTGACTTTTCTCCAAAAGCTTGAGATAATGTTTCTTCGACTTCCTTCTGCATGAATAAAATAAATCAAATAGTAAATCCAAATTCAAATATATACTATAGTATAATCGATTGAGAATTTTTTTTACTGAACCTTGAACCTCAAGGACACTGTGGGAAAACATGTCTTCTGCAATACAGCAGCAATAGCAACCATTGCTATTCTATTTTAGGCAGAAGAGTTCCACCGAGATTATGTCTCATTCTTCGTTGCCACCTACCCTGTTTTTCCTTCCCTTTTCTTTCGTTTCTTCCCTCTCTTTCATAGTTCGCTCTCTCTCTCATAATTCTGATATATTTCCACTCATATTCTTGTGTACTCATAGTGTAAAATAGGAAAAAAAATTGAAATAATACGAGAAATAAATTAATAAGCAAAACTCTTTGTTTTCTAATCTCTTTTCTCCGGCGGAATGCAAACTTCCTTCGCAAAACAAGAAGCTTTTTTCATTTTTTAAAGATAATACGACACTAAAGAAAGCAGATAACCATATCATAAAAAAAACTAAAAACTCATAGTGTTAAGCAAAATTACCATAATTCATATCCAAATTAAGACAAAGATCCCTATGAAATATGCCCAAAATATAAACATCAACTAAATTTAAAAACTTAAATCATAATTTGCCCATGGCAATAATACGTCTCATAAAGCAAAATACACCTCAATCAAGTTACTTCTTCATTTCTTTTTAATTAACTCTGCATGATAAAATTAAGAATAGCTTGAATAAGTGCAAAAAAATTTAACTATAAATAATTATGTTATTAATAAAATCATACCGGGATTTATTCTAGTTTTGAACTCACCAATTAGGTACGTTTATAATTTCAGCAAAGCTTTTGCCAGTCATCTGCTCCATGAATTTTACTACCGCTTCTACAGTAGTTTTCTGAATAGCCATCTCAGCTTTCGTACTTGCCAACTCAGATTGTGTGTTCGCCAACTCTTCTTCTAATCGTGCTCCAGATACTTTTCGATGAAATAGCATCAACTCCAGATACTTTTCGATTAAGACCTTTCGATTTAGCATATGATGAATTTTCCCCTAAAACTGTTATGCAAATTTCTTCTGTGGTCATTCGATCAACGCCTTCTGGCAAAGCTCTTTGTTGTTCTCTCAATTCTTTCATTCGAACCTATTTTCAAATATGAGTCGATATGTTAATTATTTTATAGATAAATTATTTACTTTTAACACACAAGTATAATTGATCAAACAAACTAAGAAATAACCTAAATATGAATTATACTTACACTATTTGCCTCAAAATCTTTATATGCCCATCCATTTTTCGGATTATGGTATTCAACCTCATACATATCAATATCATCAAAACCCTGTGATGTAACAATTCAAATGTTAATTTACGTCGACAACTAAATATTTCATAGTAAGAAAATATATGACTAACTTTCTCATGTTGATGTGCTGCACGAGACTTTGTTCCCAATTTATGACTATATGTCAGTTTCTTCCTGTTGCTTTTCTGAGTATTTGAAACTTTCTGTAAATATTGAAAAATAATAAAAAATAATGTAATGAATCATTTTTCTAATCAGTAATATCCATTTATTATAACAAAAATTGTCTAAAATAATATAGTACCTCAAACTTTGCTGTCTCCCAAAAATCGCACAACCAAAGCCAATCGTCACGACGATCACCGAGTTTTTCGTATATATTCTGTCTGGCTAGTGTCACACCACCTCCTTCTTTCCATTTTAAATAATATTTATGAGCATTTGAACGAAAAGATGAATACTGTTTGGCAAAAGACTTCCAAATGCATTGAACAACATGAGGCTCCTCCAGTTCATAACTGAGCTTATTCTTTTTGACATTTAGAAAATTTTAAACATTTGAATTAGGTACTATGATATTGTTAAATATGGACTAAAAGAAAATTTTAAATGAAGATAACTAACAACATCACTTACAGTCAACTTCCTAAGAAGATGATCTTTTGTTTCATCCGGAATTTTCGCCCAACCCTCAACTTGCATTGGAGCTTCACACCTAATTAAGACCCCAATCTCGGTTGCATGTTTGGAGCTATGCTCCCCAACGGGTCTGTTTATTCCTTTAGGAATAACAATTTTTGGCTTCTCCCCCCCGGATTTGCGTTTATACTTTTGGGTATTTAACCCCCTAGTCAGTCCACGACCTCGTTTTTGACCCACTAATCCATAATTAACATAAGTAAATAAAAGATAAATCAATAGTTAATATACCAATACAGATTAAAAAAAAAAAAAAAATAGTATGTTTAACATTACCTTTTATCGCATCTGCTTTATCCACCGTATCTACGACTGATTCTACAATTAGTTTTTTAAAATATAAGTTAGAAGTAAAAATATTTAAAAATAAAAATATACAACTTAACAAAACCTGTAACAACAACTCCAGTGTGCTCATTCGAAGCATTAGTCACATGTTGTACGTGAAGGTCTTCTGTATGCACTCTAGATGTAAATATTGATTACATTTACATGCGTTAAGGAAATATATAAATTTATACTATTTAATAAACAAAGTTTACAAAAATAAACTCAATCATAGAAAAAAAAATACCTTTATCGCTTGTTTTTGGGTTTGTTGCCGATTGTCTAGTCAAAGAGTTTGAAATACTTGATTTAGTCGGTGGTACAAACACTCTCTTATTTCTACTTGAAACTACAATATTCAAAGTACAAAATATTAACTTAAATTAACTTTTTATATATAACTGCAAATAAATTAAAATAACATGTTAATATCATTACCATTTAAATTTCGAAGAGACGAATTCTCAGTTGGCTCATTAGCTATACCATTTGCAGTTAAAGCATTTGCTAACTCCTTCTTACGCTTCAAATTTCCGGTATTGTTAGTTGCTGCCATTGCTGTTAATAACTCCATTCTACGTTTATGATCTGTACTCATTATTAGACTTGAGATCTGAAAAGAATTAAGATATTGATATCAATAAAAGAGAAACATAAAAAATACTTCATAAAATTCAATACTAATTAAATATATACTAATATAGCTATAAGGCTTAATTTGTACATAAATTGATCTCTGTTAATTTTGATTGTATGAATAAGTGCAACATAATTTTTTTTTTTTTTTGCATAACACGCCATCTCCATCACAGAGAATAGAAAAAAAATCAAGAGTCATTTTACCAATATAACATGCAAATGCAAACCAATTCATATGATAAATCCAATTATCTGGTAAAATGAAAACCACAATAACATAATACGGATTTGAAAGAACAGGACATATTAAAGACAATTTCAAAAAAACTTCCAACTATTATAATCCAACAAGATTTTGTATGTTATGGGTTATTCCAATAGTTTAGAATACTCTAATGAATAATGAATAAATAATGAAATAAACAGATGGACTACGTTAGATGAAGTAAATTTACCAGCAAAAAATCCTCTGATTAGTTCCCCTGTTCTGTTTCTAGATCTGTTTCTCGGTGATTTAATGTAATATGAAAGGTCAAGGGAATGAAAGGGAGATATATATTTCGGGAGTAGATCACGATGGATTCTATCGTGGGAAACTTGGAGAGGTGGATTTACCTTATCAACTATTATTTTACCGCCAAATCTCTTCTTAGGCGCCAAAAAAAAATATTTTTTTTACTAATTTGTCTTTAGGTTGTATAAACCAAAAAAATCAAAAATTGGGGTCAATGAGCAAAAAATGCGGTTCAACCGGAAACCGGTTAATGAACCGGGTTTTAGCCTAAAATGGCGGTAGGTTGCCGGATTTGGGTGGGGGATCGCCGCGGTGGTCGAATCTGGGCTGGGGATTTTTGTGGGTGGTCGGATATGTGTGTTATATGACCAAATCGGAGTTGTGGATGGCTAGATCAATGGACTGAAAGGGGGGAAAAGAAAACTGAGAAAGTAAATAAAAGAAGTACTGTTACGTGAAGATGGATGAAAAATGAAAAGAAATATGTGAAAGATGATGTTCTCTGAATATGGAGAGAAATGAGGTGAAAAAAAGGAACAGTGGAAAAAATAAAAAAGAACAAAGAAGAAGAAACGAAGGGGTGGGGTGGGGTGGGGCCAGTGAAGATAGTAATGGGGAGAGGAAAACAAAAAAGTAGTGCATATTAAAATTAAATCAGACATATTAATTAAAAGAAATTATATTATAAATGTTGGGTTAGATTTTAAGGTGAATAAATGATATAAAGTACACAGAATTATATTTTATATTTAAAAAAAAAAATTAACTATTAAAAAAAATGAAAAAACCCGGGTCGAACCCGGTTGAACCGGTCCAACCGTGACCCGAATACCTATCTGGTTTTATGTCCGGTCCGGTTCTGAAAATATTGGTTTTTAGAATAAAAATATATACATATCAATTAATTTAAAAGAAAAACATATTTTGCGCCAATTGTTTTGCAGGTAAAAAACAAGAATTTTTAGGATTGAGAAATTGATGAAATTTTTTAGATGACCGCCAATTGTTTACTTTTCGATTTCTCTCATTTTTCTTCTTTAACTACATATACATTAGAAAATTGTTGAATTCCTGAACATAATAAATAATTTAATTATTTTTGTGTAAAAAAATAGTTGATTATGACTAACCAGCCAAGCTCGAGTCCAATTTTTCAAGCTCGAGCTCGAGCCGAAGCTCATTTTGTTTTTTTTTCATTATTATTTTTTATGATTAAAAATTATTTATATTATAATAAAAAATTACAATGCTAATAATGAACCGTAATTATATTTTCTTAATTTTTATATGTTCTTTTTATATTATATTTATAATATAATATATTATAAAATAAAAAATAATATATAAAAAATACAAAAAAAGGGTCGCGAGTCGGCTCGTGAGTTCATGAACAACTAAGAAAAGGCTCGAGTTCGAAAAACTCGAGTTCGAGTTCGAGCCATTTTTCGAGCAGGCTCATCGAGTTCACGAGTCGGCTTAGCTCGTTTACCACCCCCTATACTTCATATTACTATATATTATTTATATTTATAATAAAAAAAAATTAATATTGAAATTAAAAAGAGCTCGGAAGTCTGCTTGTGAGCTCACGAACAACTAGAAATCTGGAGCTTGAAGAACTAGTGCTCGAGTTCAAACTAACCTCGAGCCGACTTATCATGTCACGTGCCGGCTCAACTCATTTGCACTTCGATCGAATAACCAATAAAAATTATAAAGCTAATACATTAAAATGGTGTATGATTATAACCATATTTTAATCCTATTACTAATCGAGCCAACTAATTCATGTCACGTGCTGACTCTAGACCTGGCCACAGTTTGGTTCGGTTCTGGTTCTGGTTCCGGTTCCGATTTTGGAGGAACCGGAACCAAACCGAAAAAATCCGATTCCTTGCGGTTCGGTTCCTGGTTTTAAAAATAGTTCTTTTTTTTTAAGTGGAAAGTATATTTAAAAAACTTAATTGTTTTTTTAAATACGTAAAATATTTTTATATATACACACACACACACACACACCGAATCAGAACCGGTTTGACCGGAACTGGAACCGGAACCGAAAAAACCGGTTCGGTTCTGGTTCCTCATTTTCTGAATCGAGAACCGACGGTTAGGAACCGAGCACCAATAAAAAATGTGATACTAATTTTTAGTTGACATAATAAAAAGTTTGATAATAAATTAAAATGTATTATAATTTTGTGTTTTTTTTTTTAAATATTAAAAACTACTAATTTATTGATATTTTCTTATTGATATAGGTAACATTATTTAAGTTAATTAGTATACTTTTGTTCTGGAGATATTTTGAGTTCCTAATAAAAATTACTTTAATAAAACTTTCTTTTTTGTTTTATAGAAAAAAGAATGAAAAATCGTGTTAATAACCTAGCCAACAAAAGGCCGCATTGAAGATTGCACCAGACTTTGCTTCTTTAAGAAAAAAAGAAACTTGGTTCTTCACCACAACAGCACATCACCGTACACGGCCAATACCCCCAATTTTCTGAAAATCAAATTTCGCATCCAATTCCAGAATTCAACAGCACCCATCATCGTTTAACATCCCAACACGGACACAAGTAATTAACACGATCTGGAGACACAGGCATCGGCGGTTGGTCGACATTGGCAGAGGTGGTTCGGTGAAAATAGCGACATTAACTTGGAGTCACACACTATTTAGGCATACGGGTACGAATAATTAATTTGCGAGGATTCGTTTGGTGAATAGTTGGATTAAGAATTTGTTTATTTTTTGCCTTTAGTTGTTATCAGATTTCGATAGATGGAAATTAGGGCTTTAATTTTCTTCTGCCAAAAATCAGAACACGAAATCATTACTTCGGTTTCTAATAATCCAGAAACCAAAATACAAATCTCAATATGCTATGTTAACTCAATTAGTAATCTCAATGTTTTTTCTTACTTTTTTTTTTTATAACAAGAGTCGTGATGTGCCTTATTTTGAAAAATTCAGTCTGCATTATTTACATCGATCCTTACACACAGTCTGCATTATTTACATCGATCCTATCGAGAGGTAAAATGTTCAGTTATTTTAATTTCTTTTTCTCAAATTTTTTTGTTGAAGTTAATGTTTCATAAATTTACCTAGGTAGTTAAATGTGTTATAATATTTAAATATTTTACGATATAATTACAGGTATCTTAGTAGTCTAAAAAGGATGGTCCGAAATAGAGCTCGTCCTGAAGGCTCAATTGCGGACGCTTATATTGTGAAAGAGTGTTTGACTTTTTGCTCATTGTATCTCCGTGGAATAGAGACAAAATATAACAGAGATGAAAGAAATTATGACGGGGAGGCACATCCAAATGCAACAATTTCTGTTTTCAAAAGTAAAATTCGAACTTTTGGAGAAACAGATTTTTTAGAGATGACCTCTCAACAATATAATGAATTGCATTGGTTTGTCTTGAATAATTGTGCGGAGATAGAATTGTATTTGAGGTTAGTATAACTTTTTTTTAGTATAACAATAGTATTTTAGCATCATTTAATTTAGTTATTGGTTCTTTTTCAGGGAGCATGAAGAAAAGTTGAAGCAAGAAAATCCTATTGGTTGGGAGGCTAGACAAAAAAAAGAGTTTGCTAAATGGTTTGATAATCGAGTAAGAGCTCTAAATTATATTTTAATTAATTTTGCTAAATGGTTTGCTAAATTATATTTTCATTGTTTTTTTAACTAGTATCTTATTTGTTGATTGCATGTTACTCGCATTAATTTGTTATTCAGATTAAAAATTTAAGGAGTATAAAATCCCCTGAAGCTACAGATGAAATTCTTGCACTTGCATCAGGACCTGATTATCGTCATAGTAAATGTAGTGGGTGTGTCGTGGAAGGAGTCAAGTATCTAACTAGCAAAAGAGATTCTAGACGAGTGACACAAAATAGTGGAGTGTGTACAGATTCTATTCACAAAGGTAAAATGATCAAGTTTTACGGAGTCTTAGAAGATGTGATTGAGTTGAGCTATGTTTGTGGTTACCGATGTGTATTATTTAGTTGTAAATGGTTTGATTTGGATCGCCATAAAGCAGTAAAAATAGATGGTGATCTTACCAGCATAAATGTGGGCAAGTTTTGGTACAAAAATGAACCTTATATTTTAGCAAATCAAGTATCTCAGGTTTTCTATGTTAGCGATACAAAATTAGGTGGGGAGTTGAAAGTTGTTCAACATGTACAACATCGACATCTTTTTGACCCATCACTCATCCACTTTACCGATGGAAATGAACTTGACGTGAATGATGCATATCAACAAGAAACTTGTGTTCATATTGAGGTTGGAACTTCTACTCAAGAGGTTGGGTCGATAGTTCGGAATGATGAAGCTCCTCTAGAGATTGAAATTGCTGAAAAGATAATTATTCCACACACACAAAATGATAAAAACGAAGAAGAAGATGAAGAAGAAGAAGACGACACCTTAGGTGAATATTGGACCAGTGATGATGAAGTTGCGTCTCACGCTAATGTGGATAGCGACTTGGAGTAGTGAATAAATACAGGTATAAATAGTTCAATTTTTTTCGTTCATACTAAATATAGTTGGATTTTTTAATTTTGTAATATCCTCTAATTTTAGTTCACCAATCTTAGATTGTAGTGATCAACAAAATAAAAAGTATTTGTCTACAATCATTCATGTCTGTCTCTATAGATCTATTTTCCTTCCCTCGTAGTACCAATTTTGTCAACTTTGCAGTTTCAGGGTTAGACTTTAATGGTGGAGTCCTCATATGTGGATCATATTTTTTCTATATCTGTAAGTTGCTTAAAGTTTTATTTATTTAAGTTTCATTGGGAATAAGAAGTATATATTTGTTTAAGTTTCACATGAAGAAATAAGGGGGGTTATTTCTTTGTATTGAATCAGAATATGCAGAACATAAATTATATGTTTGTCATGTTGAATAGTAAAAAAAATTGTATGGTTTGTGTAGATAGTAAATGAATCTTTTGTTTTGCTGTTCAATGGCTATGAATTAATTTCACTATGTTTTTAGTGCATTTGGAAAACTACTAGCATGTAATTTGATAGTTAATTGATGTGATATTAGAGGTAATGGATCATTATGAAGATGAGTGAATAATTAGTGTGAGTTAAACTTGAGAGATGACAAGGTTTTTTGTTTGTATGCAACACATAATTGATGCAGTTTCTGGCTCTCTACATAATAGTTTGTGATTAAAATGTCGGTGATAATTGAAATTTCAGATTAACTGATAGTGTGTTTACATATAATGAATTACAAAAAGTGTATTTAATTTTTCACTAATAACTGTGTTGTTTCAATATTTCCAGGGCGGAGAACACATCTTAAGGACATTCTTAATGGTATGCTTTCTTTTTGTTTTTTTTAACCCACACTTGACTATGCCTTTGGTTTTGGAAAAATAAATGGAAAGCCTTCAATCAATTCTTGTTTCTACTAAGATGGTTGTTCTGAAACTTACGTGCACTTGTGCTAAAGTCATGGTACTGTACACTTGTGCTATAGTCATGGTACATTGAATGGTAATTATATGAAAATTGAGATTATTGGTTATATCTACCAGAAGGAGGATTGATAAGGTTCTATCAATTACTGTGAGTTTACTCACATATTTTAATTGTTACAGGACAAAGAAACATTTTGTTCTTTAATATAAAATTCTATAGATATTTAGTAGCATTAAATTGGAAACATTTTCATTTTATTTTGATAGAAAGTGTTGTCTTACAAATCTCTACTCTTAGCCTTTTGTCAGTTGTACCTGACTCTAATTTAATTAGTTGTATTTCCTATGCTTCAAGTTTTTCCTATGGTCGGTTAGCATGTATATTTGATGAGATTGATCTATTAATTTCTACCATGATTTATAAATAGCATGTGAAAACTTAAAACTGCATCATATATGATTTCCTGTAGCTTCTTTGTCGGAATTGGTATAGGGTCTGTGATATTACATGGTGTAATAAGATTTAGCACACACCCTTTTTTTGATAAAATGAGCTGTTTTAATGTGATTTTTTGCAGTTGGCTTTCAAGTTGTCGAAGAGAAAAGTTGATGAAAATCTGGAGCTTCTTCATACAGTTCTTTTTTGGCAAGAAAGCAAAGGTTTATTATTTACCTTTATATATTTAAAAATTGTGTTGTTTATCAAGCTTATAATGGCTTCACGAAAATTTGATATAGGTGGGAGAAACTCTTTTAAAGTAGCACAAGAAGAATTTACTAAAGCTGGACTTCTCTTTAAAACTCCTTCAGCTGGTGACATCATATTTTATACTTTTCCCTCTTTTTGGGTCCCACGAACTTCTTCGAGATTTACACTTAATTTTTTCGCAAAATTACGACCAACGGGAGTGGATAGAACCGATCCATCATTATTTGTTATCGAATCGACAATGTCTATTTTTTTTATATTTAAATCATGTGCCTTAGTAATTTTTGGAGCTTCGATCATTTTAACGATCATTTTAGTTCTTTGTGTTTATCATACTCCATGAAGAAAGATGTGGATGTTCACAATTAGCGTTCGGTTTTTATTGTATTTATTATCAACCAGCTCAAATTGTTTTGCAACCATATTTTGGTGTTTGATATATATAGATTAGCAACCATGTCTACATTATTGCAACTAATTACATGGTTCATAAATAAATATTATGTAGTAACCAAAAGGATGTGGCCACTAAAGTATAATTATAGCAACCGTGTTATTAGTATATTGCTACCAACTTATGGATTGCTAAATAAATGTTATATACCTACCAAAAGAATAGGTCACTAAACGTAAATTTATTGAGACCATGCTAAAAATATATTGCCACCAATTTCGTGGTAGATAAATAAATACTATTTATCCACCAATTATATTGGTCACTAAAAGTAAAATTACAGCGACCATGCTAATATTATATTGGCACCAAGTTCTTGGTTGCTAAATAAATATCATTTATCCACCAAATAGATTGGTCACTAAATATAAAATTACAGCAACCACGCTAATATTATACTGCCACCAAATTCGTGGTTACTAATTAATTATTATATACCAACCAAATTGATTGGTCACTAAATGTACAATTACATCGATCATGCTAATATTATATTGGCACCAATTTCTTGGTTGCTAAATAAATATTATTTATCCACCAAATAGATTGGTCACTAAATATATCATTATAGCAACCATGTTAGGATTATGTTGCCATCAATGTTTTGGTCGCTACAGAAATATTATACTGCAACCAAGACGATTGGTGACTAAATGTATATGTATAGCAACCATATCAATATTATAGAGACCATATTTTTTTAGATTAGCGATTAATTAATTGGTCGCAAATAAATTCATCTTTAATGACCATGATTGTATGGTCGCAAAAGAAGTTACTTTTGCGTCCAACCGATTAACTGGTCGCTAATACTTTTAGTAGCCACCCTGTTGTGACCACGAGCGACCAAGCTTAATTTGCTCGCTATACGTTTTAGCGACCATTTTTTTGCTTTTAGCGACCATAAAAAGTCGTCCCTAAAGGCATTATTTCTTGTAGTGACTTGTATAACTTTAGAAAAATGTGTTTACTACAATTTCAATAAAATCCTCGATAAAAAGGTTTAGCTACTCATGATCTCTATGAAAATAATAAAAATTGATTAAAAAAATACATTTTTCGAAGTAAAAGAAATACATTTTTCCTACACTTCTCCTTTTTTTCAGTGCAAATAATTGTGTTTTAGTGCGTAGGAAATTCCGTTTAATAGGCTTACATGGCCAGAAAGTATGAAAGTTACTTAAAAGGTCGAAAATCACACTTCTGGAAGCTCCAGAATTCAGACCACAAGGTCGAAAAAATATTTTATACAAAAGAATTGTCATTGCGGTGACAAAAACGGTCATTGTGGTCTCACTTTGACGATAATTCTGACCGTTAACCTGTTTGAATTTGGAGAAACGCAAAAACATGAAACGTGTAAGCCTTCAAGTTTGATATTGATTGCCGCATGAATCTAGTCATTTGGAGATTGGATGAAAGAGATATGATCAAACAGCAAATAGTGACAAAACAATTTTCGATTTCTTCTTTCTGCATCTGTTTTGCATCCAAACTTGTGTTTCTCCACCCATTTATGTATGTAATTAGTGTTTATGCCAGTAAACATGCCTAAATAGATGGATAATGGCGAAAATATTTAACTTTGGAAGCAAAACAAACGGTTGAATGTGAAATCGAATTTACTCTTTTGACAGTGTTTGCCTTTTTGATTCACATCTCATTCATTGAAACCTGAAATGACCTCATTCAATCGGCACTGGAAAGATAACTCAAAATGCTACAACTTTTATACTTTGTGATTTTTTTTTTTCAATTCGGCCAATAATATGGTAAAAATTCATGTTTGAATTCGAAAAATGTTCAATACCGCGATGATGGAAAATAGATATTGCGACGACAGAACAAGACTCTTTCAAGTAGCTACATCATGCCATCATTGTGGTGATGGAAACGTGCCACGACGATAATGGGTCATGGTGGTGCAAAAACATGGAATTTAACTATAATTTGGTTTCTCTTCCTTCATGGTCAAGAAGAATCTTTAAAAGAAGCTTCTCTTAACCAAAACACATGTTTTTGCATTGTATCAAGGAGAAGGCGCGCAACAAGACTGAGATCTGACAAATGTTCACCATAGTTTTATCTTCTGCTTCTTTTTTCTCAAACTATGTAGTTTTTTGATATTTTTTTTTTTTTCGATGTGAACATGAGTAGCTATGCTCTTAATTTAGAATTTTATTGTGTGGGGATTGTTAACCCGTTTTCTTGATATATTATGCAAATTTGATTTCATGATTTTGTCTTCTAGTACTTGGTTTATTTGAATGATCACAAGCGTATTATTTTTATTGTTATCTATTATTATCGAAATTAAACCGGAAAATCTAACTTGATAATTAGACAATGGGTAGAAGAGCCTTCGAGCCGATTTCACAAGATAAGTTTGTTATTGGCAAGTGATATCGTAGGAATACATATGTTAACATTATGTATCCATTGTTGGTACGTACATGTATGTGCTTTATGTTGTTATCGTAATCGCGTTGAATGTATTAGGAATACCAAGCGTGGTTTTGATCATTAAATTTATAATTCACGCGAAAGCATGTTATACTTAACTTCATTTGTAAAGATGAGGAACTTCAGCATGTTATACTTTTAACTTTATTTGTAAAGATGAGGAACTTCGGGTGAATTAACAATTTACGCATAGGAGAATGAAAAATCATACCTTCGCTTTCTATAAATACCTTTTTTGGTTTTATTTCTTGGTTGTTTAGATTAATAATACAATCAACCAGCTATGGATTACTAAATAAGATAGTAGTTTTGAAGATTTTGTTATTAGAATTTTGCATATTTCTTGTGGGATGGACATTCCATTCATCTTAGTCCACTATACCACTTTTTTGCGAGTGTACTTACATGTGTGATTTTTTTTACCAACAATTACTATTTCACATAGGCCACTTTAGAAATAAGCTCATGAATGAGTATTTTTTCACAAATTGGTCAGACATAAAATTCTTTACATAAAAGTCCACACATTGTTCAGATGTTTGTAAAAGACTAAAATAGCCCATCACATTTTAATATGTTCCAATTTCATCATTTAATTTAATTTAACCTCAATTTTACCCCAAATTTCACAAATTATTCAATTTTGACCCAAAATACTATTTTGAGTACAATTTCATCCGTCGCCGCCGTTGACCGCCGGTCTCCGGCGTTGAATTTTATTTTTCTTCCTGTTTTTCCGCCGGTTTCCGGCGTTGACTTTTTCAATTTTTTTTTTTAACATCTTTTTGCCTCCTCCCCCGTTTAAACAACAATATTGCTGTGGTTGACAGTGATATTAACTATATTATAAACACAGTAAAATGAACTATACTACAGTTTAACACAACAATATTGATATATTAATTTCTAGCACAATAATATTAACACAAACAAAAGTCATTATTATTGTGTAATAGATTAATATTAATATGTTGACCGTTCAACAAAGGTAAACATAATAAAAATCCAAAAGAATTAGTATTACTGTGGTTGGCAGTAATATTACTGTAACAACAGTAATATTACCGTCAATCACAGTAATATTATTGTGCTTAAACAATATTTCAATAATAGGCAGTAATATTATTACGTTACTCCGTCAACAACTCAAACAAAACAACAAATCGAAAAAAATTAATAATATTGATGTTGTTGACAATAATATTATTGTGTTTACAGTTATTTTACTGTCAACGGCAGTAATATAATTACGTTGACTTGTCAAAAAATCAAACAAAATGAAAAAAAAAACCATAAAATTAATAATATTGTTGTTGACTCTAATTGTACTGTCAACGACATTACAATTACATAAATTTACTGTAAACCACAGTACAATTACATAATGTACTGTCAACGACAATATAATTACGTTAATTTACTGTCACTGACAGTATAATTACCGTTAATACCTAAACAATTATAGTCAACGTTCAGAGGCGGGCGTAAAAAAACAAAAAAAAATCATTAAAACAAGTCAACGTCGGAGACCGGCGGCGGAAAAAACAGAACAAAAAAGAGTTCGAAAAGTCAACGGTAGAAACCGGCGGGAAAAAAATAATATCTGAAATTAAAAAAAAAATCAAAATTGGATTTTTGTGGTCAAAATTGATCAAATTGGGGTTAAAATTTAGAATCGGGTGTAAATGGTTGGGGGTAATTTTGTCATATACATTAGTTTTTCCATTATTTATAGTACATATTAAAGGGAAGGGCTTATTGGCGAAAGATATATAGCCACTTAACCTAAAATAATAAAGATGGTTGTTCAGAGACTTATGCACAAAAACCCCTATTATAAATGGTACCAAAATATGCGTCCATATGTGAAATGTACGTAATATTGCATTGCATTGAGTAT